AACCGCTCTGAGAGACACCCGAATGGCATCCAGTGCAAGCAATGCATCATTGACGAGTAGACCTACCAAATATTTCCCTTGCTCAAATGAACAGGACTTTGGATTCATGGAGGAGCACCGTCGATCTGGTGCCTCCTTGCCGATTGCTGTGCGCCTTGGCTGTAGTATTGACCGTGCGCCCTATCACATACTTGTTCCTCAACAGGATTTGGAAAACACACAGTGCTAGTCGAATTGCCCCAATTTCCAGCCAGTCTACACATCTTTCAACAAGCTCCATCTGCCTTGGACAATCTGAGTGTTGCAGTGTATTCCCCAGATCCTACGGCTGGTGGCTGTAACTACCATCGGGTAAGGAAGCTGGAGGAAACACTCCCCTTGTCAGATTTGGTTGCGACCACTAATTTAGTGACTCCTGGGGGGGGGGGGGAGTATCTTGACTTATTTGTTCTCCCTTTGTGTGTGTGTGTGTGTGTGTGAGTGAGTGTCCTTCTGATAAGGGAGAAGAGTCCATTGTAAAGTCCTGGCATGGACACGGGCCTAAGGAATCAGATCTATGGACTACATCCTCAGTCCCAGTACTGTCAACCTGCGCATGAGGTCCATTGACCTCTGCCAGGTTTCTTTCACCCCTTCCAACAATTTTTCCTGCTGCTTTGCAGGTAGAAACACTTTGGCCATCCATGTCTGAATCCTGACCCCTAAGTGGACTATGTCCTTGGAGGGTGTGAGATGATGATGGTGATTATTTAACACATTGATCAGGCAGTCATGTGCCTAAACAGATTGCATGATGGAGTTGGGTGTCCTAGCTCACCTGCTCTGCCTCCTAGGCTCTGCAGAGGATAAAGGTAAAAATAAGGGTGGATTCCTTGTTATTGTAGACTAGTAATAAGGCCCGTTGTGGAAATAAATACGAGCTCTAGAAAGAGGCTCTGGGAGAGTGCCCCAGGCTTCAGCACTCAGTGTCAGTCAGGACTGGCCCCAATGAGTTTTCTTCCAAAGGCCAAAACAGGTGTGGAAGGGGAATTTTACTGACAGAACCAAGCTTGGTTGCCTAGCAACAAGCACTGGGGAAAATAGGATTGCCACTTCTCAGTAGGGAAATACCTGGAGATTTGGGGGGCGGATCCTGTGGAGGGCGGTGTTGAGGGGGGATGGAAAGACTCATCAGGGTATAATGCCATAGGGTCTACCCTCCAAAGCAGCCATTTTCTCCAGGGGAACTGATCTCTGCCGTCTGGTATCACTTGGTATCACAACTGAACTCCAGACAACAGATCTCTTCTCCCCCCCACCCCCTGGAGAAAATAACTGCTTTTGAGGGTGGCCTCTATGGCATTCTATTCAGTTGAGGCCTCTCCCCTCCCCAAACTCTGGCTTCCTTGGTGGGTTTTGTTCCACGTTCTGGAAAGTGTTGCCTCAGCAAACCTGGTTTGGAGGCTAAAGACGGTGCGTTTTGTCCCCTAAAGGAATCAATTGTCGTCTGGCGAGAAGAGCAAAGACAGTACCTATGTTCACCAGAGCGAAGCAACCATCTTCTGAGGAAAGTTTTGGCAGGCACTGCCTCTGTGGGCAGGACTAAGGCAACGCAGCCAGTGGATAGGGACAGCTTCTGAGTGACACATCATGGAGCCCACTGATTTAGAAGCATGTGGAGCATCTCTGTTCTGTCTTGGGAAGTGAGGGATCACAAAAGTGAGGAAACTGCTGGAGTTGACCCCAATCATATAGGCAAGTGGTTGGTCTTTGTTCTGTTGGTTCCTGTCCTGTTTGTTAAGAGGGAACTGTCTCTGTTGGAATCTGGACCAAAGGTGGAATCTGCCAAAGGTGCAGGAACACCTGAAGTCCTTTTGTTCCCATTTTTTTTAATGCTGATGAATCGGGAACAGAGGGTCCACCTTCCA